GCTGGTTGGAGCCGCCGAGGGACGCGGCCCCGGCTGCCCACCTTCCCGCCCCCGCGCGTGAGCGCCGCGCCCCGTTCCCGCCGCCCGCTTCGAGGTGAGCTCCCCGCCGAACCTGGCTCCCCATCCTCGCTCCCTGCCCCCGCCCTCGGGCGGGAGGGGAGAGATGGTCAGCCGGGGGTTAAGGGTAGCCGCAGCCCTCGCCCTCTGCCCCGGAGCCCCGCCTGGGTCCGGCCGCCGGCGCCAGGAACACGCTGGGCTCGCCGGTGGCGCGCGGACGCCGAACCCCGGGGGCGCCCCCCGGACCGCACCGCCCCGGGCCGCCTGGCCGGGGCGGGGCTGCTACGCGAGTTAGGCGGGGGAGGGGTCCAAGTTTGAAATGGAAAAGCGAGAATCGAGAGAGACCGAGAGGGTGAGAGAAACCGGCTTCCAGAAAGCCCGGTGGGAGCAGGAGACCGAGACTGGACAGGAGCGGCCGCGAGCTTAGACCGGAGGGTGCAGAGATACCCGAAACAGGGACAGAGACCAGGGCGTAGGTCACCAGGAGGCAGACCCGAGGCTTTGGGACGGACCCAGGGTTTGTGGAGCGGAGCCCTTTAGGAAAAAAGCATGCAGTGACCCCAGACGTGTTGTCGGCCCGGTCTAGGGCCTTGGAGGGTTCCGCGCAAATGAAGGGCCCCGGAGCTTAAACTTCGTTAGTCTTGTGGTCATGCAGCCTCAGAGAAGCCTAGAGAGACATCCAGAGACTGGAGGCAGAGACACTCAGACATACAGAGATGCTAAGAGATAGAGAAGGGCCGTAGGTAAGGGCAGAGACATTCCACCCTTTGGAGACACTGAGATGCCAAGACTTGAGCGGAGGTAGAAATCCACAGAGGCTGAAGTTGGGAGATAGCCGGTAAGAGATACAGACAACAGAGAGATACAGACACGAAACATACAAACAGCTGCTGAAGTACAGACGCAGACGTCCGGAGTGGAGCAGAGTTAGATTCCGAGAGACAGATGTCACGGAGGGATGGTGACAGTTTCCAAGACAGACCCCGAGGGACTCAGGCCCCGAAAGATTGGGAGGGGAGGACATGGGGAAACAGAACTAGGCGGGCAGCGGATCTGAGACAGTAAGGCATCAAGAAGGAGCCTCACACACTGGTGGAGACAGCCCCAACTTATTTTTAAACTCCAATCTTGGACGCTCTGCTTCAGCCCTGGGGGACCTGGGGTGAATGAACTGTTCCTCTTCTGTCCCCAGAGCAGCTGCTGGATCCTGCTTCCCACCTCCACCCCCCCCCCCCTCCCAAACTGCTCTGACTCCCAGGCCCCATGGTGGAGGGGGGAGGAGAGAAGAGAGTGAAGAGTTTGGGGTTGATGCCTGGTAGCAAGGATGAAGTGGGGGGAGTTTAATTTCTCCCCTCAAGTGCCCTGTCAACTCCTGAAAACTGGGGGAGGAGGGATCAGTTCTGATTGTGAGTCACAGCTGTGGGACCTGGCCAGGGTCCTCCTGGACAGTGGGGGGTAGAGGGGGGCAAAGGGGTTGAGCGGTTGGCATGGGTACTTGGAAAGACTTCTGGATGTCTTCCAGTCTCAGGGCCGGCAGCTGGGGAGAAGAGCCAGGCTCTTGTACAAGTGACACCACCCAGCATCTCCTGTCCCCCTGCTCTTAAACGCTGACCACCCCCTCCCCCACTGTTTCTAGGGAAATCAGAAAAGGCTCCTGGCCGGGAGGCAGGAGACCTGGGCTCTCTGATACCTGAGTGACTTTGGGCATGCTTCTGCCTTATCCCTGGCCTGTGTACTCAGCTGTAAAGTGAGGGTGATACCCAATCCTGCCTGCCTTATGTGTGATCTGATAGATGGTAGGGGCTTCCCTGGTGGCTCAGCCATAAAGAATCCGCCTGTAATGTGGGAGCTGCAGGAGATACGGGTTCAATCCTGGGGTCGGGAAGATCCCCTTGAGAAGGGAATGGCAACCCACTCCAGTATTCTTGTCTGGAGAATCCCATGGACAGAGGAGCCTGGCGGGCTACAGTCCATAAGGATGCAAAGAGTCGGACACGCCTGAAATGACTTAGTGTGTACGCATAGATGGTGGGTGGGCTTTGTGAGAGGCAAAACAACATGCAGGCATGTATACCTGCGCACCTATGTTGGAGCTTTCAGAGTCATGCTCACTGAAGTCAGACTCCCCCCACTGGTCTCGGTGAGCCCCGTAGCCTGGGCCTCCTCAGTTTCCCCAGCAGAACTAGGGGGTTCCCTTTTAGTTCTCTCTCTGGGCCCACCCTGAGAAGGTCAAGGTCCAGGCCCAGCCGGGCCCCCTGACCCAGGCCTGGCTGAGAAACTGTAGTCTAACCCCACTTTGAGTAAGGGGCTAATAGTATCAATGAAAACAGTAAGAACTACCATCTACTGACTACTTAGTATCTCCCAGGTGCTTTCCAGGTACCACCACATTTATTTTGTTTCCATCACATCTAAGTCTGGCAACAACCCTAGGAGGTAAGAGGTAGTATTAGATGGGAAAACAAGCTGAGGGAGCTTAAGTGACTTGCTCAAATCACCTAAGTTTATATTTCACAGTTCAGGCCTTTCTATACCACATGCTGCAGCCATTTAACCAGCCATTCTGAGCTGCAGGTTCACGGGGAGGTGTGTCAGATGTGTGTGTCTGAGTCAGGTGTAGGGGTGTATGTGTGTTGGTGGGGGCATCGGCTGAGCGCCATCTGGCAGACTGAGGAGTCTCCCCCGCAAACCCCTCCCAGTCATGGAGGAATACAAGATGGGCTCCCTTTAGCTCCCCAGCCCTGCCAGGGAAAGGGGGCGGGGGGATGGGCAGAAAAAGGGCAGAGACAGGTGGGCCTTGAGAGTGCCCTTCACTCTGTCCTCATCGGAGCCCAGCTGGACAGACTAGGGGACCAGGGAATTCTGGGAGAGAAGCCGAAGCCACGCCCATACCCTATTTGGGGTGCCCCTGTCTCAGAGTGGTGACTGCCTCCCAGGGGGCGGACCTAGGACTAGTCTGGGCCTGGGAAGGTGGTTGCCGGGGGCCAAGCCAGGAAGGAAGGCAAGGCCCAGGGCTCTCCTGGAGCGATGCATGGCCACTCTCCACCTGTGCGGCCCCCTGCTGCCCAGTGGCCGACAGCCCAGGCAACCCTCAGATGTTGGGCCAGAAGAAACTCAGGCCTGAATGGTGGGGAGTGGACTCCACCCTCTAGCAAAGCCCCCAGCCCAGGAGTCTCCAATCTGAAGACCCCAGGCCCTGGTGGCTCCTGGCCTGGAGTGTGAACTGAGTGTCCTCCCATGACAGAAGGGTAGCTGTGAGCTCGAGCCACCCCTTCAGAAGAGCCAGGCCCTCCAGGCCTGGGGCATCCGCTGGTGCCTGGAGTCTGAGTAACACTTGTTGCTAGAATTTCCTGCTGGGGGTGGCTGAGAAAAGGAGGACTTTTCCTTCAACTTGAGCCAGGCCAGGCTCTGGGGGCTGCCAGTTCCTGGGGTCTAATGGGGGGAGTGGGTTGGTGGGTCCCTTTTTGCTGCTCAGACTCATCTGCATCTGTGAGAAGATTCCCTTCCCAGGGTCCTGGTGGTTCCTCTCCACCCAGGATCCCAGTCCTCAGAGAGTGGGCTTCTTGATGGAGGAGGCTGGGGTGGGGAGCTCTGAATTTGGGCTCAAGATGGGAACCAGGGGCAGCAGAAGGGACCGGGAACCCCACTTCCTAACCCTCCCTACTCCCCAAGCTCCTGCTGCAGAGGCAGCTGTGTGGATGACCTCATCCCACAAACATGCTTTGTTCCTGAGAAAATGGAAAGTGTCTGAGGTTTGGTGGGGGGCTGGGTGTCTGCAGCAGCAGCTCTCTGTGCTCCCCCTTGCCTGACTCCCCACCCTAGAGGGGGCCTGACTGGAGAGTAAATGTCTTCAGTGGCTCCCACTCTCTCACCCTTCACTCCCCCAGCCCCAGACCCTTAGAAAAGCTGGAGAGAGACTGTCTTCTCCCAGAGGCAGGGGGAAGGAAATAATGACGCAGGGGATGGAAAGATTCTGGGGCTCTGCCAGGCACTGCCAGGAGTGATGCCCAGCAGGAGAGAGGGCAGAGGGCACACTGCATCATCGCCTGTTCCCCTCTCTGTCCCCAAGCATCTCATTTCCCTTTTTTTCTCCCCTGTTGCTGGCAAAACCTGACAGCTGGCCATCTGTGCTGTCACAGCTGCTGCAGATGTTGCAGGCCAAGGCTGCCCAGGCTGATGTGGCCAAAGATGCAGAGGGAAGTGGTGTGGGATGAGGGCAGAGGGTCCAGCTGGGGAAGCTTGGCTGTGACCAGCTTGCAGGATTTCCTTCCTGGTTAAACCTGGGCTGAGCCTCTGAAGTCCTTGTTGTTGGATTCTCCTGGGAAGGGAGGCCCAATGTTATTTCTCCCATCAGCCTCCTCCACGTCTACCATTCACTGGCCCAGCATCCTTCTTACACTCTGCTGTTTCCTGAATGGGGTTGAGGCAGGGAGAGGGGGGTGGTGCAAATAGCCCCATAGTCATCCCAAAGCGCCTCACTCCAGGCCTCTGGCTATGTCCCTTCCTGGGAGTCAGGAGACGATGAGAGTCCTGTTCAGAGGGGAGAGGGTGGGGTGACTCCTTGCCCCTGCTCTTACACCCTCTTGGAGACAGTAAAGACAGTGGAGGCTAAGCTCAGGCTAACTGTAAGGGCAGGAAATGAGTCACTGACCCAGGAAAAGCCCCCTCCCCCCAGTTCTGCCAGGGCCCAGATAAGAAAAGAACTTCTGCTTCCTGATTTTTTCCTGACCCCCCTCACCCCCAACGTTAAATACAGAAATAAACATGCAGGACTCTTGTGTTCCCAGAAGCACCCATTCCCCATCACCATCTGCTCTGACCTGGCATTTCCTATGCCCAGTCTCGTGTTCTCTTTTTTTTTAATGCAGTGTGGCTAAGCCACAGCCCCTGGGGGTGACCGCCGCCCCACCGTGTGCCCCTCGCAGGGCTCACTCACAGCCACCATGAGCGAAGCCTTCAACTGTGCCAAATGCAGCGAGTCGCTTTACGGGCGCAAATACATCCAGACAGACGATGGCCCCTACTGCGTGCCCTGCTACGACAACACCTTCGCCAACACATGTGCCGAGTGCCAGCAGCTGATCGGGCACGACTCACGGGTAAGGACTGGACTGCGCAGGGCAGGGAGTGGGTGGAGGTTGGCAGGAGGGGGCAAGTGTGCCAGCACCCTTGCCGCGCTCCCCCAGGAGCTGTTCTACGAAGACCGCCACTTCCACGAGGGCTGCTTCCGCTGCTGCCGCTGCCAGCGCTCCTTAGCCGACGAGCCCTTCACCTGCCAAGACAGCGAGCTGCTCTGTAACGACTGCTACTGCAGTGCCTTCTCCTCGCAGTGCTCTGCCTGCGGGGAGACCGTCATGCCCGGTATGTTCCCGGGGGCTCACTGTGCGTGGGACTGGCATGCCTGGCATCTACGTAGGATCCGTGCATGTGCATGGGACTGGCATGCCTGTCTGATACATACAGGGAGGCTTGATAAAGACCTGCCCATGCCACACGTTCCTGGAAATTGTGTGCAGGATCTGTTGTGCCTGTTTGCTCTTTGGAGCTTAGCACGTTCAGGGACTGACATGCGTGATACACACCTGGAGGCTTAACACGTTTGGCACACGTAGGGTACTGAGACTGTCAGTGTTTGTTGCATTGGGGTTTGTTGTGTGCAAAGACAGAAAAGACAGATACATAGGACTTAACACATATGGTGACCTGCATGGCTGGTAGAATGTGAGGATTTAGAACACATGGAGATTGGCACGATGAGGATATGTCAGGGCTTCCTATGTACTGAATCTGTCATGTCCAAGACATTGGACTCGCTTGCCTCGTAGATGGGGGTCTTTGTGTGTGTGCTCACACTATCACATCTGCTGTATAAGGGCTTGCTTAGCATATACTGAGTCATCGCGCCCATCACCTGGAGGCCTGGTAGCAGCTGAGGTCGTCATATTCTGGGACAGGTGGGGACTTCACTTAGGCCAAACCCTCAGGTCACGTGCTCAGCCAGCATGTCTGGTGTTGGGGGAAAGTTAGCATGTGCAACATACGAGGTGGGGACCCCGATGAACATGCATGGACACCTTCACCTTCAAGGCTGCGGGAGCAGCAGGGACCCTCCTGGAGGGTAGCAGAGGGTGGCACTCAGGAGCTTGGGACACAGCCTCTGAGTGGGACCCCTGTTCCCCGCAGGGTCCCGGAAGCTGGAGTACGGAGGCCAGACGTGGCATGAGCACTGCTTCCTCTGCAGCGGCTGTGAGCAGCCACTGGGCTCCCGTTCCTTCGTGCCCGACAAGGGTGCCCACTACTGCGTGCCCTGCTATGAGAACAAGTTTGCTCCTCGTTGCGCCCGTTGCAGCAAGGTGGGGGCGGGGCGTGGAGCTCCACTGCACTCAGGGGAGGGGGTGAGCAAGGCTCTGTTGCGGGGTGGAAATCCCCACACACACACCCCCGCCCCCGGCTGATAGAGGCTGCCCCCACAGACACTGACGCAGGGTGGCGTGACATACCGTGACCAGCCCTGGCATCGAGAATGCCTGGTCTGCACTGGGTGCCAGACGCCCCTGGCAGGGCAGCAGTTCACCTCCCGAGAGGACGATCCCTACTGTGTGACCTGTTTCGGAGAACTCTTTGCACCCAAGTGCAGCAGCTGCAAGCGCCCTATCACAGGTGGGTCAGAGGGTCCAAAGACTGGGTCGGGTGTAGACTGGGGTGGGGGATGGGGAACCTGGTCTCCGTGAGGCCAAGGGACAAGACCCACCCTCCAGATGGCAGCACTAATCCTCAGCCTCCCTCTAGGACTCGGTGGAGGCAAGTATGTGTCCTTCGAAGACCGCCACTGGCATCACAGCTGCTTCTCCTGCGCCCGCTGCTCCACCTCCCTGGTGGGTCAGGGCTTCGTGCCGGACGGAGACCAAGTGCTGTGCCAGGGCTGCAGCCAGGCAGGGCCCTGAGCCAGGGCTCCCGGACTAAGGCTCCTTCTCCAGACCGCCTCTGGGACCCAGCCTCTCCCCAATTTGGGGCTCCCCTTGGGCTCCAGGATTCAGCCTCCCCACTCCAGCGTCCTCAATCTGGTACTTCCTGACCCAGGGCCCCCAAACCTGGGCTCTCCCGGAGCCTTCATCATCATTCAAATCCCCTCCCCAGACCTGAACTCCAGAACTCTCTCCTCTCCCTTCAGGTTGGGCTTGCTTCCCAGACCAAGCCCTTTCCCCAAATCAGGGCTCTGGGACCCAATCCCCCTTCAATCTAGACTTGTCTCCAAAGACTTTAGGTCTCCTATGGGTGCCTGAGAGGTCCTCAAAAGTCGCACATACTCAGGCCTGACGCTCCCCACCCCTGTCCCACCGGGATCCCCAAGGATGGGGCTGTCTGGGCAGCACTGGTTAGGGGGTCCTAGGGTACAGGTTTTTGCCCATCCCGTGTTGTGAGTGTATTTCTCTTTTCATTTCAGCTCCATTTTGCCCAGAGATGGGCAGAGGGGTGGGTTTGGCCCACCCCCCTCTTTCAGATTCTGCAATAAAGCAGTATGAGAAAGTGAAGGCCTCTGTTTGGCTGGGGGTTGGGGGAGCAGGCGGAGGTGGGTGGAGGGGCAAGGAAGGGTCCTTCGCACCCAGGGACTTGGAGGCTCGTCCCACCTCCTCCCTGCAGAGCAGGAGGAAGCTTCCAGGCGGGGTGGGAAACCTCTCCCGAGAAAGGGGATCCCCGCCGCCGCTACCGTCCGTCTTTGGCTTAGTCGGCCTCCCTTCCACCTCCCCCGCCTTCTGGCAAAGGACTTTTTCCTCCGGTGAGGAAGGGAGGGATTTAGGGAGGTTGTGGATCGGAGCCTGGGCCGGGGCGGCTGGTGTTGGCTTCCCCGCCAGGTACAAGTCTCTCCCCTCCCTTAATAACCACCTCCCCGAACCCCACGAAGCATCCAATGCGAATCCCCAGTCTGGGCCCAGACCCTCAGCCCCCTTCCCCCTCTTCCCTAGGATTAGCGGAGGCGGCCCGGGATCCGCTCGCGGCCGCACGTTTTTTGCCAAAAAAGGCAAGGATGCAGCTGCACGCGCCGCGGGAACATCTGGATCCGATTCCCGGCATGAATGGGTCATGGCCCCGCCCCATCGTGATTCAAGGGCGGGGGCGGGAATGAGCCCGGGGGTGGGGGGGCTGTCCCCCAAAATGAGGCGATGGGGCGGAGCGCTGCTCCCCTCTCCCGGCGTCCGACGCCCCTGCCCCTGCGTTCTCGGCGGCCTGCGGTGTAGGCTCCGCGGTCTAGACTGGCGGAGCCCGACTCGTGCGCTCCGGCGGCCGGCGCGGGCTGAGCCACTGACGTCCCGCCCGCGGCCTCCCCCCGGGTGGGGGCCCCCGGCCGGGCGGGCGGACCTTCGGCGCCCAGTGGGGGAGGGGCCCTTCGGGCCGGCAGAACCGCGTGATTATATGTATCTGAAATGAAATCCTCCCCGAAATTCTATGGGGCGGGCGTTTTTCCACTTCACAGAGGTGGAGACTCTACTTGTCAAGTTCCCGAAATAGGTAGATCCGGGGTTCTACTTTCCACACTGCCTTCCCGGCCCAATCTGATTCCTCAACTTTGACATTTTCAACAAACCTTGATGAATGCCCACCATGTGTGCTTATCATTAATGATTGCATGTTGACATTTTCGTCTCTTTCTTCCACCAGCCTCTGAGGGTTGGATTCACGCCTGCCTTGCTCACCCCTCCACACTCAGCCTCGGGCACTTAACTACATGTTCAATAAAGAACTTACTGAGGAAGAGTAGTCCAAGCATAGAAAACAGCTAATGCAAAGACCTGGAGGCCTGAAAAAACATATGGTGTATTTTGAGGAAGCAGCGAGTAATTTCATTTGGAGGAAGTACCGAAAGACTAAAACAGCAGGCAGCAGCCAGGTCATGAAACATCGAAAGCCAAGTGAAACAGACCTCACCCTGTGGGTAAACCAGGCAGTGGAAATCTTTAAGCAGGGGCGAGAGATGATCACTTCGCTGCATAGTGAATAATGGATTGGAGGGGTAAGATGAGTAGGCTGGGGAGGAGGCTGGTGCAGTGGTGCAGGTGAGAGATAATGAAACAGGTGGCAGCTGGAGTGGAAAAGACAGGACTTGGTGACCGGTCTGAAGGAATGAGGAAGGAGAAGGTTTAAGGGGAAGGAAGGCATCAGGTGAATGGTGCTCAGGTGACCCATCCACCTAAGAGGAAAGGGATGTGCAAGTACAATAATGGATCATTGATTTCAAGATAAACATTTTTCAGATTTATGACCTCAGAAACCAGATGCAACCATATAGTTAACCATGTGACATAGCTGAATTGAAAAAAAATTTTTTTTCTTTCTTTATGAACCATAAAACAATGGTGGGGTTAACACTTGATAGTGTCTCATATGTGTTGAAACATGGTGAATCCCAAACCTTTACCCTCCCACCCCCACCCCTCAAAAGATACACACACTGAGTCTGCAATCCAGAAGAGGAATTTCTTATCTCTCTCCCAGAGGTGCAGGAAAAATTTCTGGGGATTTGTTGTGTCTGGGGGTCCTATCCCTAAGTTGGAGGTCTTGCTTAAATTTCTAGACACTAGCAACAGGCAACCACTCACCTACTTTCTATCTATATAGATTTGCCATCTGAACACACACTAATGTGTTTTTCTTTGCGTGTCTGCCTTCTTTCACATAACATGATGCTTTTATGGGTCATCCATATTGTAATATTCCTTCATTGCTGAATAATGTTCCATTGTATGGATACATCATATGTGGTCTGTATATTTACCAGTTAATGACTTTGGGGGTTGCAGCTTTGTTGATAACGAGTAGTGCTGCTATGAATGTCTGCACATATGGACATAGGTTTTCATTTCTCCCCTAGATATGGGCATGTAGACTTGTTTCTTTCTTTCTTTCTTTCTTTTTCCCCTCCAGTTATATAGTATTTTACTGCTTGAATGCACTATATTTTATTTAACCAGTCCCTTGGGTTTCCCAGGTGGCATTAGTGGTAAAGAACCTGTCTGCCAATGCAAGGGACATAAGAGATGTGGGTTTGATCCCTGGATGGGGAAGACCCCCTAGAGGAGGGGATGGAAACTCACTCCAGTATTCTTGCCTGGAGAAACCCTTGGACAGAGGAGCCTGGCGGGTTTTGGTCCATAGGGTCGCAACGAGTCGAACATGACTGAAGCGACTTAGCACGCACGCAGCACTGCTGACAGACAATATCAAAAGAAAGGAAGGGAAGGAGAAAGAAAAGAAGAAAGGAAAGGAAAAAACCCGCGATCATCCTCATTTTACTGAGGGAAAAACGTTGTCACAGGTCACACTGAACTGGAGACTCAAGTTCCGGTTCTCCAGCTCCCATCCGTGCTCCTCAGCTACTCAGTCCAGCCCGGCCGCACAGCTAGGGAAGTCCCCGCAAGCCAGGTTAGATTTCTTACCGCCAGGCTGGTGGATTTCTGTGTGCCCCCTAGAGGCACCTGCAAATCGTTCGGTATCGCGCCACACACCCTCGACCAGCAGGGGGCACTGCAGCCGTCTCCATAGCACCGACTGGATCTCTAGCGGTGCTCACTTTTCCTCGAGTCCCCGAGGAACTTCCGGCAACCGCGGAACTTTGCTGCCGCCGGACTAGTAGCTTGCGGACGCGGGCGCGCAAGGCGGCAGGGGTTGTTTCCGGCCGTGTTGGTGGTCTGGTTTGGGTTGCGGCGGCAGCGACGGCGGCGGCGGGGGAGGAGGAGGAGGGAAGATGGAAACGATTCTGGAGCAGCAGCGGCGCTATCATGAGGAGAAGGAACGGCTTATGGATGTCATGGCCAAAGAGATGCTCACTAAGAAGTCCACGGTGAGTGGGCCTAGGCAAGGGCTACCCTAAGGCCGGACCCCCTGCCCGGGTTTAACCTCAGAGCTTTTTTCAGCCCTCAGACGCGCCCCGCTCCGAGCCCTTCGGGAGATTCCCTCCCCGAGCTCAGGCCTAGGTAACCATTCCCCGGGGCCCAGCGCCTAGAGGCCTCTCTGCTTGGGCCGCTAAGACCCTAGCGGGTAAGCTCCGCCCTCGGGCGGCCTTCCCCAACTCCAGAATTCCGACTAACGACGTCTATGTCATCGTTTGCCTTTCTTCAGCTCCGGGACCAGATCAATTCTGACCACCGCACACGGGCCATGCAAGATGTGAGTGTCTCACTGTCCGCTTCTTTTTGGGCGCGATCGACTAGAAGAGGAAGGAGGGGGTGCAGGGACAAAGGTAGCCGATTGGCCAGTCGAGGGGTTTGTATGCCTGCCAAATGTACACGCGCTGCCAAACCTGAGGATGCTCAACCACCCTTACTCGCTTCTCCGAATGGAGAACTCACTCATTTTTAATTACTAGAGATCCCCTTTATAGCATCCTGTGTCCCATGGATGTGCAAAGAGTAGTTATGAGGTGTCAATGCCTCGGGCTTAGAAGGTACTCTCCTCCCCCATAGAAAAGAATAAAAGACCCTAATCAGAGTTTCTGATTTAGGGTAGATAAATGAGCATTACAAGCCCCTAATCCCTTATCTAGATTCCCAAATCCAAAGTACTCTGAAAACAAAAGATTTTTAAATTTGTTTTGGAAATTACTTGGTGGCAAAAATCTGACTTGATCTGATCAGATGAGAGGTTTTTTATGGCGTTTATTCCATTTAATAAATAACATAACTTTAAGTGCAGAACTAAAATTCCAAATTCTGAAGCAAACCTGGTCCCAAAAGTTTTGGAGAATGGGCTATGTACTTGTGCCATCCTGAATTTGAACCCAAAGGAAGCTGTGTGATGTTTTACTTAGCCTGAGCACTCCTTAGTCAAGCCTTTTGAAATAGTGAAAGTCATCTTGAACGATCCTTTTATCTTTGAGGGTCTTTGATGGGAACTGCTGTTTTCCAAAGAAAAACTGCTGTTTCTCTTACATGACTCTCTTTTACAATAC